CCAGAAGGCTCCAGATGGTGAGTACTGAGTTGAGGGGGACGTGTCAGGATATGAACTCTGAGACCCCAGGGCATGATGGCAAGTCTTGAAGTGAGGAGATTTGTCAGATTCTAAAGTGAATGAGGAATGGTTTGGGGTATGGCTCAGTAGTTAAAGTCCTGGGCTCTGTCCCCAGCATTTCTAAAAGAAAGAAAACATTTAAAATGAAGGGGGAAGGGTGACTGTTACTGGAAGACTGAAGTCACAGAGGGGTGGCAGGTAGGCACAGCAGATGCAAGGACAGAATCAGCAGAGGTCTGAGGGTGAGAGCGTGTGTGTGTGTGTGTGTGTGTGTGTGTGTGTGTGTGTGTGTGTGTGTGTTTAAGCAAGAGCATTGTCCGACTACTGTGTGGACAGCAAGAGGTCAGCCTGGTTCTTGCTGAGGGAATCTCTGTGAAGGGCTGACTGTTCGCAAGGCAGCTTGCTGGGGAGGGGCATTTAGAGGGCACTGGGAGACCTTATGGGAAGGAGAGAAGGGGGCATGGGCCAAGCATGAAGAAAATAGGGGTCCAGTCAAGGAGAAGAGGATGGAAGGCTAAAGGTGGGATGAGCCAGAGCCCTCCCACCTTGGACGAGGGATGTTGCTCAACAGTGGAGTGCTAGCCTGGCGTGAGGAAGGCTCCCGGTTCAGCCCCTGAACTTCAAGAAAACACGTTATCCTGTCCATGAGGAGGAGGATGGAGGTAGAGTAGGGATGCTGGGAAAAGTTGGCACTGGCCTTGACTGACTGCTACCAGGTATCTGTTGGCACTAGCCTGGGCCATCCAAACCAGCCAGCCTAGAGGCTTGGTGGGTCCGAAGAGTTAAATTTTAGCATGCTCTCCACGTTCATTCCTTCTGAAGCCCCACTGTGAGTCAGCCCAAGCCCCAGGGCCTGTGAGCAGAGATACATTCGTATCAGCTCAGTTTTCACTTCAGGGCCCGGGGCCTGGGATGGCCACCTGCCTTCACGTATGTCCACTACTATGTTTGTCAGATCCAGTCCACACATCCCCCTCAGGAGCACACCTACAAGACAGTCAAGCGTGCTTGCATTCCTGAGGAGCCTGGAGTGGGGGCTCACTGGGCCCAAGGAAACCCAAGAAGCACGTGGAGAAACAAACGTTGGGGCAGTTGTCTCTCAGGGTCCCCACAGCAGCTCATGGAGATGTGTTTGTTCATTTCCTCACGTTGCACCACGAGCGAACTTCACAGCTGGGATTTATTTTCAGAGCGCTTTGGAATTTGACAGACCCGCCTGCCTTCTGCTTCACAGCTGAAACCTCTTGCCATTTGGTTGATGATAAAGCAAGTGATGGTTTACACTAAAGGGCCTGTGAAAGATGCTGTCTGTGACTGAGACAGACAGGTGTCAAAACCAGAGTAGCAGACAGCGCAGTCAGCAGAGCCCCGGGTCTGCTCTGCAAGGTCACTCAGCTTGCAAGTTCAGTGTCACCTCCAGAGGGAGCTGAAGTCTGCGTGCCCACCTTGCTTAGAGGTGTCCCTCGGCGGTGGCTAAGACAGTGATTCTGGTGTCAGTATAGAGTAAGCACTCACAAATCTGTACTCCACATCTGCAGAGAAAGCTGCCAGGTCCCAGGGTACTGCTGGGGCGGGGGGGGGGGGTGCTGATCAGGCCCAGTCCAGAGCCGTATTTGCCAAACAGTACCAGAGAGCCAGCTCAGGAAACCACAGCATGCCACAGGTGCGCAGTCCAGGGAGGTGACTGCCTGAGTTACACATACTTGTCACCCTCCATCTCCTTCCTCCATTAGCTCAGCAGGTCCAATCTAAAGGAAGGAAGTTCTCAACGCCCTGCTCTTTCTAGTGAGAGGGACTCACTTAACCGGCCCTGAAGGAGGGGCCTCTCAGGCCACTGTCTCACGGGGCTGTGACCATCATTAGCATTTACCTCTGTTTGGAAGTCTGTTCTATTCTATTCTGTTCCATTGCTTTCTGTTTGGTTTCATTCTCTCTGTGTACTTAGGTCAGTGAATTGTTAGTGCTGAGTGACTCTTTGTGATCACGGAGATAACAAGTGGGTGTCACGATGTAATGCTTGGAGTTAGTCAAGGAGTGGGCTGCTGGGGATCAAGGGGGTAGCCAGGAGCGCACTAGGGAGCCTTGAATTACACCAAGTAGCCAGGTGCCAGGCAGAGCCAAGAAGAGTCCTGAGGTGAGCAGAGCCCAATCTTTATACTCTCATACTGGGGGATGGGATGTGGATTTTGGAGACCATTGGTGGGGAGAATGAGAGATTTTCAAGAAAGGTGTGACTGTGTGTAAGTCTACCATGTTGACTATCACTCCACCCTATTCTCTCTCATTGAACCCTTGGGGTTGCAAACATATACAGCCATGACCAGCTGTTTACATGGGTGCTGAGGTCTGGACTTGGGTTCTCATTCTTGCACAGCAGGTATTCTTTCCCACTGAGCCATCTTTCAAGTCCTTCATGCTCTGCAGGGGAGGATCTGAGCATGAGTAGTAAGGGTGAAGGCCACGGAGGAAGGGCAGCTTTGGAGGGAAGCCACCTTTGCTTGCACCTGTGAATGACACAATGTCTGTGATGCTGAGAGACAGCTGGACATGTTGAAGCGTCTAAGAGGGGTCTGGCTGCCTTGTGCTTGTCAAATATGCTGAGAAAGACTCTGGTTGAGGACATACAACAGCAAGAACAACAGCAGTGGAGTTCTCCAGTGAGGGAAGAGAGAATGCTGAGTTCTGACCCCAGCAAAGAAAAACAGAAATTTAGAACCAAAGAAAGGGTGAGGGCTAATTGGGTAGGGAATTACTAAGAATAAACATTAGGGTAAAGAGAATTCTTGCTAGACCCACTCAGCAGAATTCTTACTGAATGCAGGCCACAGTGATAAGATATCAATGGAGGCCAGATATTGAGGGTGGGGATTTTGCCCAAAAGTGTTACTCAGCTTCCCACTACTATGATAAAATATCTGGCATAATTATCAAAGATAACATGTTTGTCTTGGCTCATGGCTTTGGAGGTTCCAGTCAGAGAATGGGAGTTTGGACCTCTGATGGGGTGCTAGATGACAGTGGGGGTGTGTGCTGCAGAGCATACCTGCCTAACACACAAGCTAGGTCTCACAAGAAAGAAGAGACCATGATCCCACAGTCATCAGGGGCACACCACCAGTGACCTAACAACCATCTACTAGGCCCTACTTGAAAAAGTTTACCATATTCAATAATGCCATTCTGGGCACCAAGTGTTTAAGACACGGACCTTTGAGGTCACTCGTGCAAACTTGTTTAACAATGATTTACCTTAAACAGACTTTCTCAAACTGTTCCTTTCATGCCAGAAGGGGAAGCCCAAAGCTAATCCCAGTTTAAAAGTGGACTCAGAGCCTCTGCAGAGTTCTGGTTAAAAGGGACCTCTGGAGATGGGCATCATGATGTCATCTGTATATAGGAGGTAGTAGAACATGTCACCGAAGATCTCGCAAGGGAAATGGGAAGGAGGCGGTCCAAGGCCTAGCACCAAGAGAGGGTAAGGGCTGAGTAAGAGGCGCCTCCCCCACAAATGAGGAGCTATCTGAAAGTCTTGGTATTCCTGGGAAAGAAAATTGTCAGGGTTATGTTGAAGAGATGGACAAAGGAAAAACACACCAAGGTATATATTTTACAATTGGCATGGAGATGTCCCTGTGGCCTGGAATAGGTGGTATCCATGGAGCTGTAGGATAAAGGCAGGTTTCAGGGTCCACCACTGGGAGGAGGCAAGCTACAGAGCATGAGTGAGGATAGAGTGAGCAATCTGCCTGCAATGAAGAGAGAAGATAGGACCTTCTGGGTCACTGAAGGTTTCTGCTTGCTCTCTTGTCTATGATGAAACAGGTGTGACATTGTTTATACCTGGAGGCTGTAGACAGCAGGGAATGGAGACGCTGGGAATGGTTGAATGGGAAGGGATCAAGGGATAGAACAAAATCTGCTGGTGTCAGAGACATATGTGGAAATTGTGAAATATTTCTTCCTGTAAAGTGACAATAAGATAGGTGAGTGAAGCCAGGGAGGCAGAAGACAGGCCAGGCACACAACAGGAGACAATGTCTAGCTCTCTGGCTTAGACCGCACTTTCTGGTGACACTCATGCTGGTGTTGGAGCCTCTTTTGGAAGGAGCGAGTGAAGCTGCCTTGTAGCTGCGCAGTTAACTGCCACTGATGTAGCTCTATCAGCAACGGGCTTGAAATGGCTGCTATGGGAGAAGACATTAGGTCACTGGCATCCAGAGGTGACCGCTAAGACTTTGGCATGAATAGAACTGCACAAGGTCTGTCTGTGTAGAATGACAAGAAAAGATGGAAGAGATGGAGCCTCTAGAGAGAGAAAGAACTACAGTCTAGATTGGGAGGGCTGCTTGTTTTTTAAGACAAAATCTCCCTATGCATCCCTAACTTGCCTGGAACTCACTAAATAAACCAGGATGTCCTTAAACATTCCAAAATCCACCCACCTCTGTATTCTGAGTGCTGGCATTAAAGGTGAGTGCCCCCATGCCTGACTTGGTAGGTTTTTTGTTTTGCTTTGTTTTGTTTTGTTTTTTAAAAAAGATCCATGTATATAGTTTGCAAAGTTCAGCAAAGCAGCCAGATCAAATCAAGGAAAGATGTGTTTTGGATTCAGCAGTGGGGAAGTTGTTAGTGACCTTGGCAAAAGCTGTTTTCATGGGGTTGGGGAGGAGGTGGCCAGACTAAAGTGACTTGGGGCTCAGGAATCCAACAGCACAGCTGACAAGTAGAGATTGCGCTGAAGAAAACAAGGCCTTGTGAACCGTATGGATACCATTTCCCTGCGAGTTTCTACCCAAGAACACTGGAGATGCCAGAAAAATATCTGCTGTGCCTTGCACAGCCTCTCCCTGCATGGCAGAGCTTTGGCGAGCTCTCCCCCTCCCTCCCCGACCCTGATCTCAGGCAGAGGCTCACAGCTGCTGTGCTTCTCTCTCCCTCAGGCCGCATCCTGGACCTGAAGACTGGGACAGTGAAGAAGGAAGGACAGCAGTCGTCCATGCGCATGTGCATGGGCTCTCGACGCTCCTTCATCTGTAGGATGAGGTTTGTGGGTCGACAAAGGCCAAGGCCAGGGGCCTTCGCTTAACCTTGTGCTCTCAACTTCAGGCCAGAAATGCTCCCCAGTTCCTGACCCGGCATAAAAGTACTCCCCTTCTGCCTCCGGTCCCTCCTAATAATTCACCGTTTCCCACCCATTCTGTTTCACGCCTTTATGTGCTGTATTCTGCTTCTCTCTCTTTCTCGTTCTTTTAATTTTTGTTTTTTAATGTAGCCCTGGTTGTGACTAGAATTTGCTATATAGACCAGGCTGGCCTCTAACTAGCAAAGATCCTTCTGCCTAAGCCTCTCGTGCGGGGATTAAAAGTGTGCACCATCACACCAGCACATTCTTGGGTTTTTTGTTTTTTGGGTTTTTTTGGCAGGAGTTGGGGAGGTGGGATGGGGGGTTGGTGGCCGGGACTATGCTGGGGATTGAACCCAGGCCTTGTGTCTCCCAGGCAAGTGCTCCACCACTGAGCTATTCTTCAGCCCTTGGCTTTGGAGATTTCTCAGTGGAGTGCAAGCTGGCTTGGGACTCCTGGTTCCCCCAATTCCACCTCCTTAGTGCTGTACAGTCGATAACCCTGCTGCAGTGTAATGGTCCCGTTCCAGTGCAATAACCCTGCTCTTCGGTACTTTGTGATTTTTCCCCTGACTGTCCTTTGAGACCTTTCACACGTTTTGCCTCTCCTGGGTTCTGTGTTCCTCAATGTGGTTTGTATTGAAACCACTGATCCCATGTTTATTCTTGTATTTCCTATGTCAGCTCACACCTTTTAAACTGGTCCCCAACTGCTATTGATTGGATTTTTTGTTTTGATTTTGTTTTGTGTTTTTGAGGCAGGGGCTGGCATCAAACTCATCCAGCTGCAGGTGACTTGGAAGTTCTGATCTTCCTGTATTCACTTCCTAAGCCCACTGAGCTGCCCGTCCCACCGGCTAATGTCACTTTTACTCAGTGGTCTGCTGCCTGAAGTGACTTAACACTTGCACATCTTGTGGGTATATAACATTCCAAGCAGTAATTGCTTTAAAATGGGTATTTATTTTTCCCTTTAGATCAGTGTATATTTTAACAAAATCCATTCCTTATGGCTGGAGAGATAGCTCTGTTAGTTAAAAAAAATGAAAAGTCTAGCACGGCGGTGTGTGCACTTGTAACCCAAGTGATGGTGAGGTGGAGACAGGCAGACTTCTGGGGCTTGCTGCCTACTGGGCAAATCCTAGGTGAGAGACCATGTCTCAGAAAAAAGAAGTGTATAATACTTGAGGAAGAACAGATAAGGCTGTCCTCTGGTCTCCACACAGATGTGTGTATATCTGAACACCTGTGCCTGTATACATTTATGTATACACACAGAGACAGAGACAGAGACAGAGAGAGAGAGAGAGAGAGAGAGAGAGATGCAAATCTACAAGTCATATCGCCAAAGTAGCCTGCTTCTTATCCCTAGGTGGATCTACAGAACTCTCTTTTATAAAACATTGCTTTAGGGATCTGGTGAAAGAGCTGTCATTTCCCCTGCATCTGCTCCTCTCCAGGCTAAATGCTGGACCTCTTCCAGAAAGCCCTGACAAGGTGACAGGAAGGCACTGGAGTGACAGTGCATAAATGGCCTCTCTGACTTAGGATGGAGTCTCACTGGCTGCCTGCTTTGTGTTGCGAGTGAGCTGGACACAGGACTCGTGCAGGGCATCCAGCCAGAAACAAAATAGTATCAGCTAATGTCACAGCAGGGTCCTCTTATCCTAGCTTGGCCACAGTTAGTAAGCCCAAGTGATATAAATTCTTAATTAATCCCAGGAATGAACCGCTTGGAGGCATCATAGCACACCATTTCTATTAGTTAGAGTGCCACTGTCACCACCCAGGCTACCCCACCTCTCCAAGCCCAAGCACACCTCCAGAGAACGTACTCATAGCTGCTCATCTGTGCAGCACTTTGTTGTGCCTCGAGCATGACATCATCAACAAAGCAACACCATTTCCTCAGGACACTGGGCACAGTCTGCCAGAAAGGGGCAGAGGGCCCTGTTGGCATCCCTGGGTGGCAGTGTTGAGGACTGATCCTGCTATGAAAACTACTCCAGTGCTGGCAGCTCTCCAAGGTTTCAGAACATAATTGGAAATTTTTTTTGTGTGTGTTGCCAATGAAGACATCCAGGCTGGCACTTGCCATATAGTTGGGAAATGGAAATGCACTTAGCAAATGGAGCTGCCAAGTGGTGGCTAGAACCTGGATGCGTGATACCTGAGATGCTGAGAAAGTCATTGAGAAGTGACCAGGGTTATCCTGCCATTGTGGACAGTGGTTCATCCCCTGGGCCGCATAAGGGGACCCCCAGGCAGACCTGATTCTATGACTATGGGCCCCTTGTCTCCATGGTCTCCTTTGCAGTCAGCAGGCTTCCAGCTGTGTGGTTGTTCTTACAGCCAGCCCTGGGCAGGGAGGGGTATCCACAATGTGATGCTCAAGCCTGGGAAGATGCTACCGTTCATTCAGCTATCAACATCTGTTTCAAGGTGGCGTCTCTGCTCAGGCCTGAACAGACACTACTGCTATCATCACCCTCCCCCTTTCCATAAAGCCACGGGTTCCACTGAAATGATCTGTGGGACCAAGGATGGCTAGGGTTCTCCTTTAGTCTTTCTGCAACTCTTTAGTACTAAGATGGACTGTGGAATGTTTCTCATGCATGTTAAAAATTAGCCAAACTCTCTTTCCAATGGCAACCACAAGTCAAGAGCAGGCAAGCCCACTTCTGCCCTTTGGAAGGATATTAGCCGTGGGACTTCTCTGAGTAAACGTGTAGCAGTTGAGAACCATCTACTGGAGAGCAGGGTTACAGAGAGTGGTACAGCTCCCAGGCTGAGACTCTTGACCCTCAAAGCTGGACTGCTATAGAAATCTTCCAATAACAAGGCCGACAGTCTCTCTTCTCTGACTGTAGGCTTCCAGCCGTCTGCTGTCAAGCAGCTGGCCATCCTGCCTCTTAGGCAGTCCAGTCTGCTGGTGGCTCAGCTGTCATTGGCTCTGCTTCTCTCCTGCCTCTGCCTCCACCACTCTCTGCTCTGCTATCTCTGCTACATCCCTTTCGTGTGTTACCAGCTCAAGCTGTAATAATACCAAAGTAATTAAGACAACAACAGCAAAAAAAAAAAAGTAATTAAGAAAAGACTGTTCCAGAAAAGCTTTTCACTGGGCTTGATGTACTAGCAGGAGAGTGTCCCCCAGATGGCTCACACAGGGAGCTGAAGAGTGTGCTTATGGAGCTGAAACGGGCATTTGCATCAATCATAGCAATCAGTATGCAAATGCAGGCTAGTGTTTGCCCCCCAGTAACAGGCTAACCCCTCTAGTTCCAGTCTTCTACCCTCCAGAAGTGCTCCCCTACTGGCTTAGGTAGAAAGAGTTGTAGGGTCATCTAGAGTTCAGCCAGGCTTTTAACAGTTAAAGCTTCCAGTAAGAAACTGTTTCAAAGAGCTCTGGCAGGGCTGCACCTTCAAGAGTAGTTTTTGCAAGGTATCTATGAAGTGTTCAGTGCAGCCCATGTTCACCAACCGGTACTCTGACTGGCTGTTTGGCTCCTTTAGCTCAAGATAGTCACAGATGCAAGAGGAACTCCAATGGCCATGGATGAAGAAGTTTCATCACCCCCCCCATTACCTCAACCTCTTTATTTATAAGAAAATGAATGTCAGAAAGAGTCCAAATTAAAGAACTCTTCATATGTGTTGACAGTATGGCTCAGTCAGTCAAATATTTGCCTTATAAAATGAGACCTGGGTTTGATCTCTAGAGTCCATGTGAAAAAAGCACTTTAGTAATCCTAACATCAGAGATGCAAATCCAGGAGGGTCCCTGGGGCTCAGCCACCAGCCAGGCTCACTTGGTAAGCTGCAGGCCAGTGAGCGACATTATCTCAAAAGGAAAGATGGAATAGCACCTGAGGTATCCTCTGGTGTCCACATGTACATGCGTACACATGAACCTGCACTCTCTCCTGCACACACACACACACACACACACACACACACACACACACCTGTGCACCTACACACACAACGTACTCCCCCACGCACCTTCACACACTTGAACATACACAAAGAGCTTACACTAATAGTTATTTTAAAGGATTTAACACTTGCCTAACGCATCAGGGCGAGGTGGGTTACCCTTGTCTGTCTCAGTTGCACCATATCTTTCATGTATTTACTGCATCTTCACTGGTTCTAACAAATGTGCTGACTCTTAGGTGTGGAAATGCCCCCTTGGACCACCTGCCTTTGAACAGAATAACCACCATGCGGAAAAGGTTCAGGTGGGCGTCCCTTTCTATGATGTACTTGGGGATAATGCTAGCCAATGGCATGATGCCCCGCACTGGGGAATAGTTCAGCCTGAAGAGGGGCTAAAAGTAGAGGACCAGGAGGGCACGTGTCAGGGTGGTGGTGCCTGCGGTGAGAACTGGGAGTTGGGTGGAATTCATGTGTGACTTTCAGGCCTTTTGAGAGGATGGAAGTCAGGATGGTGGGAAATCAATATTTAAAACACAAAGGAAACAAAGGAACAGATAGCTTAGATACCAAAGGGGTCATCATCATATTGCCTTATTCCCATGTGATGAAGACAGCTTCACATTTGTCTTTCTCAGGAATGGCCTTGGCCCTGTGAAAGAAGGAGAAGCCCAGTATGCTGTGGTCCATTGCACAGGTTACATCAAGGCTTGGCCACCAGCAGGTGAGCAGAGCTGCTGATGTATTTCCAAGGAGGCAAATGCCTTCACCTCCAACTGTGATACTGGGTTAAGAGCATTCTTGGAGAAGGAAAGTATTGTTGTTTTTCTTTGTGGTTATAATGTCGTTTTTGACACCAGAGAGAGCCCCACTATCTGACCTAGGTTTCCAGAAAGTGGAGTGAGAGGAGCCTTTGCATCATCAACCTCTGAAAAGATAGTGTGGAGATTTGAAATGGTAGTTGCAGCCTTGTTCCTGTAGATACACACGTCAAAATCACAATGAGATAACAGATAATCAGATAATAGCAAGCACTGGCAAGGAAAGGGAGAAGTGAAACCATCATATCTTGCTCGTGGGAATGTAAAACAGCATAGTCACTTGGAAAAAAGTCTCAAATGGTAAGCATGCAGTTACTGTATGACTTCACAATTTGACTCCTAGATATCAACCCAAAAGAATTGAAGAACTAGGTCTGCAAAGAAATTTGAATACAAATATTTATTCATAATGGATAAAGAGTTAAAAACAACCCAAGTATACACTAAGTGGTGAATAGATGAATAAAATGTCATGTATCAATACAGGGAATATTAAAGCCCAAAAGTATTGCTATTGTACCATAGTAATTCCACAAAGAAAATGACGCAAAGACTGTGACCATAATACAGTTAAAGAATATATATCAACAGCCAGCACAGTGCTTGGAATAAATATAGTTTACAGTAAGCTGGTCATTGACAGGGAAATGAAAATAAGGAGTGTAAGATAAAGTGACTAGATATTGTGGCATTGCCTCTATTGTGCAGTGAGCTGTGGACTGTGCTCCCTGTGAACTGGATTTGTGTTTTGGGGGGGATTGTACAAGACCCCTCTCTGGCCAGTACAGGGATCTGCAGCAATCCTTTCTTCACTGATTGTCTGACGCTGCCTGCTTTATAGGGGGAGTGGCATTTTGCTGCTTGTTGTCCAGCCGATTGTACCTCTGATATGGCATGTCAATTTTCATCTGTGCCATAGGTTGTCTGGAAGTAAGCTAATTTCTCCATACTGACTATGGTTTTCCAAAGAATGAGTTTTCAATGTCCACAAGTATCATCAGCATCTTCCTGCAGTTCTGGAATGTACCATATAATCCTAAAAATAATGACTGTTGAGTGTTTTCTATGTCAGACATAATTAGATCACAACAGTGCTATGGAATTGGCAGAGTCTGAGCACCTGCAATTCAAAATTATATAATCTAAACACTCTACACTGACTTGTTGTGTATGTATACACATATATTCACACATACACACACACCTGTCAGTTAGAAGGATTTTTTTTCTACTTAAAGCATTATCTTGGGCTTCATTGGATTGCTATCACAAAATATTACAGACTGGGTAATTTATAATAAAAATAAATTTCTTTCTTACAGTTATATTGGTGGAAATTTCAGGGTTAAGGGATTGCATTTGGCAGGGGTCTTCTGGCTGTGCATCAGATTATGACAGAGGGTGTCATTTGAGACAGGATCTTACACACATCCTTTCTGGCCTGGAACTCACGATGTAGATCAGGCTGATCTTGAACTCACAGAGATCCACCTGCTTCTGCCTCCCAAATACTGTGATTAGAGTGTGCCACTGCACACAGCCTCTCTCTCTTAAGAAGCCACTACCATCATCATGAGGTCACTGTAGAATCTGATTTAACTTTCATCCCCTCCAAATAGCTGCATTTCCCAATACCATCATCATACAAATTTGGGCTTTCAAGTTTCTGACTCATGAACTTTTGACAACATTTTTTTCCTAATGTGCACGGCTATTTTGCCTACATGTGTGTTTATACACCGTGTACATGCTGTGCCTGCAAGAGATAGATCCCTGGGGACTGGAGTTACAGATGGTGTGAATCACCATGTTGGGAATCTAATGAAGGTCCTCTAGATGAGCAGCCAATGCTCTCAATCACTGTACCATCTCCCCTGCCCCCTAAGACACATCTTAAAAACACATGAAGTGTAATTTAGAAGACTATCAGGATGTTGTTTGCCAAAGACCTGAGCCAGACTCAGGGACAGAGATTCAGAAAGCATCCAGTTTAGGAGATCCACTCACTCACAGTTCTGATAGCGCTACAGAACCAGTTAGACCCCAGGAGTACAAATGGTTCCAAGCAACTCAAGAATTACAAGGAGTAGTGAGGTGCTAGGACAGGGCCTTTTGTAAATGGCATGGCTGCTCCTGTCTGCTTTTGTTCGTGGGAACATCACATAGTGCTTGAGAAAGTAGGTCTGTAGTAGGAGATTGTTCCAGGAGATGAAAATAAGAACACAAGACTGTGGCTCTTGAAAGGAGACAGGCAGCAGTTGCTCCATTATCCAGTATGTTTGATGGCCTGTGTGTGGCCATTGTTTAGCAAGTCTCTCAGGGCTACATACCCCATGCCCACTCTTCTAGTAGTGCTCAGATAAATGGGGGTCGTATGTGTGTAGAGTGGATAGAAAAGTGTTATAAGACAGCCATCCTTGGGGGAAAGAAGAGTCCCTAAGCCAGCTGAGGTTAGGAGAATTTCCCTGAAGAATGCCTGCACCCTGACTTCATCAGTACTCCAAAGCTTTCTTCTTGGAATCCATGCCAAGTGGATGCCCTGATTCCTACTGAATCTTTCTTTGCTTAAGTTGGTTAATCTGTCTTACTATACCATGCAATAATGAGACACGATCTTACTATACATCCTGACTGGCCTGGAACTCACAATGTAGACCAGGCTGATCTTGAACTCACAGAGATCCACCTGCTTCTGCCTCCCAAATACTGTGATTAGAGTGCGCCACTGCACACAGCCTCTCTCTCTTAAGAAGCCATGAGAGTAATGCCATGAGTGTGGTAAAACTCACTCAGACTCTATGGACATGGAGAAAAGAGACTGTGACCTAAGAGGCAGGTAGTGGTGGCACCCAGTGGATGAGTTCCCCTGGAGCTGCATATGTCTCAAGACTGTTGGTGATAGCCTGTGTGGGGCAGGAGGACTTACTCTTCGTCTTAAACACTGGTCCTTGAAACTGCCACTTAAGGGCTGGCTGAAGGAGCCAGGATGTTTCACTTAGAGAAAATGAGACATGAGTGCTGTCTTCAAGTATTTGAGGGGGTGTCATATAAAGGAGGTATTAGTCTCAGGATAGTTCAGAAGGCACAACTTGGAGCAACAGAGGAAAGTTACAGAAGAGAGATGTGAGCCAAGGGCATGAGAGGGCATTAAAAATGCAAGATAGATACATTAAGCTATGGAGAAAAACAGTTTTCATGGTTAACCAGAGCTGCACATTAAAACAATTTGATACCATTTTCTCTTGCATACTAATGGATCAAAGAGAGAAAGGCAAGTGATGTACAGTGTTAGTAAAAAAAATTAAAAGTTCTTTTTACAGTGCTGTTTGGAATGCAAATTAGTACAAGACTTGAGTAGAATAACTGAGCACTGTGTATCAAACATTGGACAGTGTACAGCACTCAGATTTGTGGAAGTTTATTCTAATGAATTTATTAGAAATGGCTATATATCGTGTGCTCAAGCACAATTTAACAACTGTGAAAGCTCCAAATGAATCTAAATATCTCTGGTAGAGAATTGGCTAAAATTCTGTGGAATCTATATACACCAGCACAGTGGACAGACACTAATGAGAACATGTGCTATTCATGGATGTTTGAGAACAAAATAAAGTGTAAAGAATTATTTTAAATAGCTGCAAGACATATACATCTTGATTTTTCAGTTATAAATGAATAAAACATAGGTATATGCTAAAACTGGAATATTAATCACTTATTTCTGTGTATGGATTGTTGGAGCTTTTTCTTCTCTGTTTATGTCTACATCTCCCCAAAGTTTACCTGACTTTGATAATCAGAGAAAATGGTGTTTTGAGACATCAATCTGAAACTTCAAAGTAGGCATCCAAGATGATCAGATTGCATGGTTTACAATGAACTTGAAAGTATGTCATCATCTGCCATTTTGGTTTGCTCTTCTACTGGGTGTTTCTGTAAGGATGGAGGTTCTGGAGAAGAAGGTCATCTCCCTGTATCATGACTCACGCACACCTACAGGGTACTACCGCATCTGCTGCCTTCTTCTGTGGCTGCCAATACTGATTCTTGGTTAGCAACTGCATTCTTAGCATATATAACACTAATTCTGGCTTAGTGTTGGCATCCTGCATCATTGCAAGACCCAGTGGCATATGTTGAGCTCATCTTCTCATCCCCATATATCACTCAGACTCGCAAACATTGTATTCATGGAGACTGGATGGGTGGATGGATGGATGGATGGTTGGATGGGGGTGGGTGGGTGGATGGTTGGGTGGGTGGGTAGGTGAACCGATGGATGGATGGTGAAAAAAGAAGGGTTCTTGTTTTAAAAAATTGTGATTCTAGAAGGATGCATGTATGAAGGAATTTCTTGCCTAAGTTTCTAAGTTTATAGAATTCAGTTTTGTGGAGCTCTTTTGAGACAGAAACAGTTGTGTGGCCTAGATGAATGTCTAAAGTGAAGTCATGACTCTTTTACCCCTTCCTAAGGTCTTGGAATTGGGGTACTAGATTAGCTCACTGTAAGGACTATGGGTTACAGTGCTGGCGCTACTTGCTCACATGTTCAAGCTCTATAATCATAAACAATGACTAAGTTACAGAAAAGATTTATGACAGCTAACTAAAGCCAACCTCAAAAAAGATTAGCAGCCAGGATGGACTTTGCAGTGCAAACCAGAGCCTTGTGGTTGGATTTCTTGACAGCAACTCGTAACACATGCACTTAGACCTAGTAGATTAGTTGTACATCCATGATTCTTTCTTCTTCCTGTCTGCCCTTGCTACCTGAATGTAGATTCTGGTATATTCCAGAAGCCCTTTCTGTAACACAGTAGCCTTCCTAATTATCCTGACGACATTTTACACTGCATTGGTCCGGTATTTGGAGTGGGACTAGCAGGCACTGAGTTCCTTT